AGATGCCACAAGCCGAGAAGATGATGTCAAGAGTTATCAGGATGGTGTTAGCCTGTGCTGGTTTGAATTCCTTGGCCTAGGTTTTTTTTTCCTTTTTTCTGAGAGAATAAGAAATTAATTCATTGGTTTATTACTTAAATATTTATTTAGTAGGAGGCTAGATATTGTTTGGACTCTGGATGAGAGAAAAAATAAAAAGGCACCTAATGATCTTAAGTAAGCAGGGAGAGGGGGCACCAGGCACCTTGGGTGGTGCAGAGGAGGAAGAGCTTGGCATCACTTCCTTGTACTAGAAAGGGGGCGTGGCCTGAGGGGGAGATTGCTTCTTGCTATGACAATTGGAAAAGGTGGGTGGGTCCATGATTCAGCAGCTACCTGGCTGTGGTTGGGACCCTCGAGTGTTTCTCAATGTTAATTTGTTTATTTCAGAGGAGAGTGGTGCAGTGGTAACAGAAGTCCTGAAGGAGAGGTGAGGCAGGAGAGAGGCTGGGTCCTGGGGTGCTGCTGAGTTGGAGGAATCTCCTATAGTGTTCTGTCCCACAGCAGGGTAACTAGAGTTGACAACAATTAACTGTTTTTCAAAATGCTTGTAATGTGGCTTGAGAAATGGCTCAGCAACTAAGAACCTTGTCTGCTCTTCCAGAGGACCCAGGTTCCATTCCCAACACCAAATGGCAACCTACAACCATCTGTAGCCATAGTACCAGGGGAACTGATGACTGCTTCTGACCTCTGAGGAATCTGTACATGCATGGTACACAGGTATACATGCAGGCAAAACACCTATGCACATAAAATCAAAGTAAACATAAAACAGATAAGGATTGATAGTAGAAAAGACTTTGAATGTTCCCAACACACACACACACACACACACACACACACACACACACACACTGTGTCTGGAGTGGAAGAAGCATGCTTTATGCTGGCATTGGACTACCACAGCATATTGTATAAACACGTATCCTCACCACAGATTAATTACAAAGAAAAAACATGGCAGACAATATGTGCAACCTAAAACACATTCCTAAAGCTGCACTCAGTAGGACCCTAAGAATATTTGGTGACTTGGTCCACCTCCCATGCAGTGTGTGATGATGGAGGCAGCACTGCCCATCTGCCACAGTGGATGTGATCAGTCTGAGACTGAATGAGACCAATTCACATTGCTATTTTTTCATTTCTAAAATGTTTAGTGTATCTTTATAGAAAAGTCTTAAAGAGTATGAAAAAAATGCATTCCTTAGTCATTCAAAAAACCACACAACCCAATACCAAAGCCTAAAACAAAACAAAATAAAAAACCCCAAACAACTGTGAAGAGTTGGGCATGGTGGCATACACCTTTGATCCAAGCATGGCAGAGGCAGAGGCAGAGGCAGAGGCAGAGGCAGAGGCAGAGGCAGAGGCAGAGGCAGAGGCAGAGGCAGAGGCAGAGGCAGAGGCAGAGGCAGAGGCAGAGGCAGAGGCAGATCTCTGTGAGTTTGACTCCAGCCTGGTCTACAGAGTGAGTTCTAGGCCACCCAGAGCCACATGATTTTTGAGACATATTTTGTCTCAAAAACAAAACAGAACAAAACAAAAATAAAAACAAGACACCCTTCTTCAGGGCCTAGCTGGATGATTTTATACCTTCCATATTCTGCCCAATCCCATCAAAGGTAGCCCAGGTCCCACAAACAGTGTTTGGGCATAGTCCAGCCATTCCTGTCTGCACTGCTACTAAACTCTAGGCTTTTCCAGGATCTTCTCTGCCTATCCCCCAACCTACAAGATCATCTCATGCCATATCCAACCTCTCCACCTGGCCAGATCATTCATACCTTTCTCTGGGGGTCTAGCTAGGTAAGTCTGCCTGATCCTACTCCTTCATGCACCTACCACAACCCACATATCTGCCCACAAACTCCAAGCTTGGACCAGGATATATACCCTATTTACCAGACTACTTCCCTGTGTCCACCTGAGATACATCCAGTTTTTAAGTTCAACCCAACCTTCATACCCACCCAACTGCCCCAACCTGCTCTTTCCATATCAGACTTAGAACCAACAAAAGCAGTATGCATTTCTAGATTTCATGATAAAACTACAAGCAGTATGAATGATCAGTGGCACACCCCCCAAATCCTCCTGTCCCACAGAAATGTATGCTAATGAGAGTTACCTAGATAAACCCCAGGACAAGCATAAACTTCAAAGAATTCAAAGACTTTAAAGAAGACATAAAGAAACAGTTCAATAAAATTAATGATCATAAGTTGTAGCACAAATTCTAATTAGTATTAATAATAAAAACTCAGAGTCAGCTATCAGGGGGTGAAAGCTGAAAGATCAGAGAAGCAGAGAGGCCCAGCACTAGCTCTTACTTCTACCTCAGACCAAATGGGTTATCCTGTCTCCACAAATTCTCAAAAAATGCTCATACTGACTGCCTAGACTGCTTAGACTGCCTCAGACTGGCTGCCTCAGACTGCACTGCCCCCCAGACTGCCTCCTCAAACTGACTGCTTCAGACTGATTGCCTCAGAGTACCATGAGCTCCTGTCTCCTTCCACCTTATGTTCCTCTCTGCCCAGCCATATCCCTTCCTGTGTCCACCTCCTTAGTGCTGGGATTAAAGGCATGTCACACCAAGTGCCGGGATCACCTTTGTATGAGCTCTGTTTCTCTTTTAGACTGGATCAATTTTCAGGGTAGCCTTGAACTCACAGAGATCCATCTGTTTCTGTCTGCCTAGTGCTGGGATTACAGGTATGTGCCACTATTGTCTGGCCTCTATGACTAGCTAGTGTGGCTAGCTTTGCACTCTGATCTTCAGGCAAGCTTTATTTGTTAGATCATAAACAAAATATCACTATAATAAATGCCAAGAAAACACAAACTTAAGGCTGATGAAAATGATAACAACAATCAAGGACTTGAAACAGAATTCAATGAAAGGATATAAAGATTTGTAAGGACTCAAGCTGAAATGAAGATGGAATTGAAAACCCAATAACCCAGCTACAAAACTGAAAGGAAAGTCTGATTTCTGAATTGAACAAAACAGAAGATGGAAAATCAGGATTTGAAGAAAAAGTAGAGGAGTTATATAAAATAAATAACAAACAAAACACAGGTAAAGGAAACATGGGACACATGAAAACACCAAACATTCAAATTATAGAAATAGATGAGGGAGAAAAATTATAGTCAATGGCATAGGCCAGATCTTCAATAAAATCATAGAAGAAAAATTTCCCAAACTAAGGAAAGATACACCCATCCAGATATAAGAAACATTCAGGACACCAAATAGATAAGGCTATTAAGCAAAATTCCCATGGTATTAGACATAAAGAGCAAAGAGAGCTGAAAGCTACAAGAGAAAGCACACAAGTCACATGTAAAGAAAAACACATTAGAATAACAGCTGATTCTCAATGGAAACATTGAAAGCCAAAATAGCCTGGAGCAATGCATTCCGAAAGATCATGGCAGACAGCTTAGATTAATATATCCAGCAAAACTATCTGCCACTGTTGAAGGAGAAAGAAAAACTTTCCATGTAGCTGAGAGACTATGGAAAGAAACAGGAGACCATAGTTACTAAAACACAAAGTACTTCTGAGAACACAAACAGCAACACCAAAACCAGCACAGTGAATGCAATAAACACACACCTTCCAACAATGACTTTAAATATAAGCTGCTTCAATTTTCTGATCAAAAGGCATAGGCTGGCTGAATGGACCAAGAAGCAAAAATCCATCTATCTGTTGTCTATAAAAAATAACCTTAGTTTTAAAGATATTGTACAACCTTAGAGTAAAAGGATGGGCAAAAGTATTTCAATCAAATGGGACCAAGAAGCAAGCAGGTGTGCTATCCTAATGTCTGATGAAGTAGACAGCAAACTGGAACTAACCAGAAGAGATAAAGAGAGACATTCATACTAGTCAAGGGAACAGTTAACCCAAGAAGACAATACTATTCTAAACATATATGTACTAAACTCTGGTACACACAATTTCATAGAATTTATATTACTGGAATTAAATATACAAGTACACAGATTGGCATCAATCCATTAATAGTAGGTGATTTCAGTCCCCAACTCTCTCCAATAAACAGGCCATCTGGACAAGATAGATAGATAGATAGATAGATAGATAGATAGATAGATAGATAGATATGACATCATACATTAAATATACTTATAGATCTACAGAATATTTAAACTGACAACCAAAGAATATACGTTATACTTAGCAGCCCATGGAAGTTTCTCTCAATAGACCACATTCTGGGACATAAAATAAGTTTTTACAAATACAGAAAGGTTGAAGTAGCTCCATGTATCCCATGTGACCATGTGGTGAGAGAATGAGAATGCCCCATAGGTTCATAGCTTGAATGCTTAGTGGGACTGTTTGGGAAGGATTAAGAGGTGGCTTTGTTGGAGATATGTTGGAAATTTTTTTTTGTTCTTTGCTGGGCCCACCCCCCAGCTCCCACACAGAAACTTAATTCTTACTTATAATCACTCAGCCTTAGTTTGGCTTGTTTCTTGCCAGTTTTTCTTAATTTAAATTATCCTGATTACCCTTTGCCTCTGGGCTTTTTACTTTTCTTACTTCTGTATATCTTACTTTCACTCTTACTCCATGGGTGGCTGGGGGGCTGGCCCTTGGTGTCCTCTATCCTTCTTTTCTCTTGCTCCCCCTTTTCTCTTCCATATTTCTCCTTCTGTTTATACTCTCTGCCTGCCAGCCCCACCTATTTGCCTCACTATTGGCCATTCAGCTCTTTATTAGACCATTAGGTGTTTTAGACAGGCAAAGTAACACAGCTTCACAGACTTAAACAAATGTAACATAAAAGAATGCAACACATCTTTGTATCATTAAACAAATGTGCGGTGATATCTTGCTTGTACAAATAAAAGCATGTCTGAAGATCAGAGGATAGAGCTTGCCACTAGCTAACTATAGAGGGAGGTCTGGAGGCCACTTTGGCAGCACATGCATACTAAAATTGGAACTATATAGAAAAGATTAGCATGACCCTTGCCCAAGGATGACAAACAGATTCATGAAGTGCTCCATAATTTTGATTAATTTTGCTAAAACATACTGTATATATGTTTCTGATATTGTTCAAAGTATTGTACCTATACAGCTCATTTAACAATGTAGTGCAAATTTCTAGTCCTTAAAGTTATTATCAACTATATAGGATAATAAAGAAATATAGCTTAGTAATTAGTCAACTATTACAATTGAACTTGTAGTCACATTGAGTATGTTTACAAGATCAATCAGATATTTTAGAAAGACAGGTCATCTTCAAACACTTCAGAGACCTACAGAATATGGATTTTAATATACTTTAATAACATAGGTTCTTTTTTTATGACAATGAGACATGTCTGCTTGGCAGCACATCAAAGAAGATGATGGGCATCAAAAAAATTCCACATAGAGTTAATTTTCTTTGTGGCAAAAGTCAGTCACTGGGCAAGAAACTGCCCTTGCCTTAACTGCTGACAGTGTGCTGGCCAAATTGGCCCAATAGGACACTAAAAAGAGTGGCTGAAAACCTTGCCAAGACAAGGCAGTCCAGTCCTTCAGAATATCCTGCTTCACAGAATTATCTGTCAGATATGCTAGGCCTATAGGCCAAAGATTGATGCCTCAATGTTGCAGAGCAACCCTGGCTGACTGTCCAGTGTAGTAATTTAAGAAAATCAGGGCCTGAGAGAAAGACTTCATGTTACAGGGTTCAAGCAGAGGTTTTTTTATGTAAGGGAAAGAGATCATAAAAAGGTGAAAGGGAAGAGCGGAGACTGGCCTCCGTAGCCAGGAGCATCAGGAGAGAGGAGAAAGGAAAGAGGGAGAGAGAGAGGAAGATAGAGAGAGAGAAGGTAGGAAGGGCCCCTTTAAATGGGAACATAGTGAACATGCACAGGTGGTGCTCTTAGTGGCTGCATCTGAGGGCATATCCTGTCAGAACCCCAAAGACAGGCTAGTACAGCTGTCTGAATACTAACATCCAGCCAGCCAACTGTTTCTGTCATTTCTCACATTTTTTGGAAGTTGCTTGCTCGCACTCCCTGCTTAATCAGTTAATATTATTTCCTTCTCCGGTCTCTAAGGGAGTTGAAGATTAGATAGTATAGTTACAGTTTTCTTTGTTTACCAAACTCAGTAAAGAAACTCACTAAAGATGTGTTAAGTGTGTTTAACATCTTTAGCCATCAGAGAAATGCAAATCAAAACAGCTCTGAGATATCATCTTGCTCCTGTCAGAATGGCTAAAATCAAAAACACCAAAGACAGTTTATGCTAGAGAGGATGTGGAGAAAGGGAACACTCCTCTACTGCTGGTGGGAGTGCCAACTAGTACAGCCACTTTGGAAATCAGTATGGTGATTCCTCAGGAAAATGGGAATCAGTTTACCACAAGATCCAGCAATTCCACTCTTAGGCATATACCCAAAAGATGCATATTCATACAACAAGGACATCTGTTCAACTATGTTCATAGCAGCATTATTTGTAATAGCCAGAACATGGAAGCAACCTAGATGCCCCTCAACTGAAAAATTGGATGGAGAAAATGTGGTACATTTACACAATGGAGTACTACTCAGCAGAAAAAAAAATGGAATTTTGAAATTCACAGGCAAATGAATGGAAATAGAAGAAACCATTCTGAGTGAGGTAACCCAGGCACAAAAAGACAAACATGGTATGTACTCACTCATATATGAATTGTAGACATAGAGCAAAGGATTACCAGCCTACAATCCACACCGCCAGAGAAGCTAGGAAACAAGGCGGACCCAAAGAGAGACATACATGGCTCCCTGAAGAAGGGGAAAGGGACAAGATTCCTGAGAAAATTTGGAGCATGGGGGGACGGGAAAGGGAGTTAGAAGAAAGAGAAGGGGAGAAGAGGAGGGGAGAGGAGGACATGAGGGAGCAGGAAGATTTAGTCATGGGAAGAATAGAGAGCAAGAAAAAAGATACCATAATAGAGGGAGACATTATAGATTTAAAGAGAAATCTGGCACTAGGGAAATGTCCAGAGATCTACAAGGATGAGCCCAAATAACAATCTAAGCAACAGTGGAGAGGTTACCTTAAATGGACCCCAGACCCCCTGAATGTGGGTGTCAGTGAGCAGGCCTAGGCACTCTTTTGGGCCTCTAGTAGTGGATCAGGATTTATCCCTAGTATACAAATGGACTTTGGGAGCCCATTCTACATAGAGGGATACTCTCTCAGCCTAGACACACAGGGAGGGTCTAGGCCCTGCTCCAAATGATATGACAGACTTTGAAGATCCCCATGGAAGGCCTCCCCCTCCCTGGGGAGCAGAAAGGGGATGTGATAGGGGGTTGGTAGGGGGCAGGGGAGGAAGGGAGGGAGAGGGAACTAGATTGACATGTAAAACAAGCTTGTTTCTAATTTAAATAAAAAAGGAAAAAACCCCACACAATTAAACTCAAAGAGATGTGTTAAGTGTAATAGGTTTGAAAGACATTAAAAGAGAATTTGATAATGCAAATTAGAATAGAAAGTAAATTAGGAACAAGACTTTTTACTCATGAAGAAAGAATAGACAATGGAGTATTTTCTCTGAATTTGTCAAATGCTAATAGACTAGACACTGTTATTGCACTTATTGTCTGTATATATTGTATATACTTATTGTACTTTGCATATACTTTTTCTTATATTAGTTATAACATTTTTTATTTTTACAAAAAGGGGGATGTGTGGTGATATCTTGCTTGTATAAATAAAGTGTGTCTGAAGATCAGAGGATGGAACTTGCCACCAGCTAACCATAGAGATCTGGAGGTCCATACAGACAGATAGGAAGTGAGGTAGCTGGGTGGAAACAGGAAGTGAGATGGATGGGCACAGACAGGAAGTGAGATGACTGGGCAGAGTGAGGATATAAGTGGGAAGAAACGGGAACTTGCTTTCTTGTCTGCTGAGACGCTAAAGAAGGTATAGGTGGCTTTGGCTAGCTCTTCCTTCTCTCTGATCTCTCAGCATTTTCCGCTCTATCTGACTCCAGGTTTTTAATTATTAGACCAATTAAGAACTCCATTTTACACAAAAGTTCCACAGCATAAACAAATGTAACACACCTTAATATATTCTACAATAGTTAGGCTATTTGCAAGGGGTTCTTTTTTAATTTTTAATGTTTTAATTAATTAGAGAGAGGGTTTTGCCTAGTTGTTTAAAAAGCAACAGCAAACAAAACTTTAGTAAATACACAGATTCATGAGTATTAAACAGCTCATTGAATGATGAATGGGTCAAAGAAGAAATAAAGAAGGGCCCGTCGCTGGTGGAGCATGCTTTTAATCCCAGCACTCAGGGAGGCAGAGGCAGGCAGATCTCTGTGAGTTAAAGGACAGCCTGCTCTACAGAGTGAGTTCCAGGACAGCCTCCAAAACAATACAGGGAAACCCTAGCTCCAAAAAACCAAAAACCAAAACCAAACCAAAACAAAAGAAAATAAAGAAGGAAATTAAATTTATGGAACTAAATGAAAATGAAAACACAACATAACAAAACCTCTGGGAACATTGAAAGCAGTAACTGAAGGAACCAGGAAGGTTAAAAAGACCAGTGTTGGGGTTGGGAAATGAGAAATAGGGGAATGGCAGGCTACAAGTGATCTGAAAAGGGGAAATGGGGAAAACGGCAGGGGGTAGGGGGTGGGGAGGAGAAGGGGGAGAGCAGGGCTTTTATTGGGGAGGAGAAGGGAGGTAAATTCAAAAAGTGGGATGAGGTGAAATAACAGTAAGGGTGTCTGGAAAAGTCACAAGAAATCATTATCATCTATCTACCTAAAAAACTATAATACAGTACACCTGTGTATACATATATAGTTTAATTGAAATTTCCCATCCGGACTAACAATAGACTAACAAAAACCCGAACAGCAAGTACAAGAAGCCCCACTTTGAGCTGTTGGCCAGAGTTGTCCAAGAGATTCCCAGAAGTGGAAGGTAAGTCCCTATTGCTGAAGACACTAGACACTTCAGACACAGAACCCAGAGGACCTGAGCTGGATCTGAGCCAAAAGCATCATCCCTGAAGATGAGCTTTAGATTATACCAGAAGGTGCCATGCAAGCTTCGAAAGGAGGGAAGCAACCAAAAGTCCTACCCAGCTGTGATGGCTACGAACCACAACAAAGACCAGCATGGCATGATAATTGTAATGGTGCCATAGTGGCACACAACTCCCAAATAGGAAGTCATGCCTGGTACTGGAAACTTAGCCAACTACCCAGGGCTAGTGAAGTTATGGATCTCGGTGGAGAACCTACAACTGCCAATTTATCAAATCATCATAATCCCTAACTACACTCTAAATGCTTGTCTTTATACCCACAGATAAGTGTAGTTCTAACCCTTAATTACGTAAACTTCCCTTTGCAACAGAAGGAGACCATTACAGAAAACCACAACTTATTAAAATGCAGAGCTGTGGATTCCAGACCCAACTGATAAATCTACAATACAACTTATGCAGCTAAGGCTCAGGGATCATTTTGGATGAGTCAGAGGAACAGAAAGTTTTCTGTAAGATTGTGTCTCCTAGAAATGTCAGAGAATCTATACCCAAACACCCGAAGACACTAGTAGACATGCTAACTTGGAAGAGGGAAACCTCAGGTGGCCTCAATCCCAGACAAAGAGCTACAGGCAACTAAGCAATGCCAAGAGCAGGGAAAATAGTCTTCCCCAAGAAGAACCCAGTGATTAACCATCCAATACCAATTGGTCAGCTCTGAAAACACTTACTTATGAATAACACTGTATGGACTGAGCAGGTTGTATTTATGTGTTTAGGAATACACACATAAGTAACAGCAATTAAAGAAAAAGGCCATGAATCTGAAAGAGAGCAAAGGGGTTACACAGGAGGGTGTGGAGGAAGAGATGGAGAAAATGATTTAACTATAGTATAGTCTCAAAAATGAAAAACATTTATAAAAAACAACTCCACCTCCAAAGCCTCCACCTATGGACATGTTGGTAGAAAAATCTTCATGTAGATATAATGCAAATGATGAC